CGCCGTTTGCGTCCGTCCTTTGCGCTTCGCTTGGCAAGCTCGCCCGCAAAGTACGCCGAGTACGCAAGGCGCACCTTTTTGTTTTGAAGACCTCGATACTTAGCGCACTGCTCGGGCGAGAGCTCAAACACGTGCCGCGTCTCGTCTTCGCCGCCGGCTACGCGCACAGACACAGTGCGCGGCAGCGCCGACACGTCAACCCGCGTGTACGTCAGCGACGGGTCCCGCACGCCGCACGAGGCGCATGCGTGCAGCGGCAGCGCGTGCGCCATGCGCTCGTCGCTCCACTCGCCCAGCAGCCGCCGCTTCGTCTCGTCGGAGACGTGCACGCAGCGCTGCAGCAGCGCCGCCGTCTCGTCCTCGGGCCGCTCCAGGTCCATGACGACGTTCGTCGAGGCGTGGAAGCGCGTCTCCAGGTCGATGGCCGCCTGCTCGGCCGCGGCGAGCTTGCCCTGGTCGACGCACATGCCGCACACCGCGTGCGCCGGGCAGCCGCACTGGCCGCGTTGTGGGCGCACGGTCTTGGCGACCGCCGGCGCTGCGCGCCGGTCGTGCTGCTCACGCTGCCGGCGGCGCTGGTCGCGCGCCTGCCGATCGCGCGTGTTCGCGGCGGCTGCATCTCTTGCTCGTTTCGCTCGCACCCGAGCGGCTGTCGCCAGGCGCTTCAGGTCGGCGGTGCTGCGCGCGCGGCCGTCGGCCAGGCACAGCCACATGTCCTCCTCCTTAGCAGGCTCGCACGGCTTGCCGTCGAACTGCGGCTGGCGCCCGCGACGATGCTTCGCCCAGGCCGGGCACGATGGTGCCGCGACGAGCGGCGTCGAGGCGACGGCCATCGATGGGTCCAGAAGACTTGGAGACACTTCTACCAAAAAATCGAGCACAATTGCGTTACATGGGCATGGCCGGGGTTTCTGCACCGAACGATCTTACTTTCGGTCTATCGAAAGTGTTCGTCGATAAAATTCTTAATGCCCGCCGCCGCACGCACCCCACCGAGTAGCAGGGAGACCAGCGCAAAGAACACGACTTGCCGAGGTCGGCGTCGGCGTGAAGAGCCGCGCGGCATGTCACAGTGGAGCCTCGAGGGTGACAGCACGCTCGCGGGTGGTGAGAGCAGGCTCGTTCTCCCGTGCACGGAGGGTGCCGCCAGCGCTTTCGACCTCGGACGCGGGCGACTGTTTGCTGCTTACGGCAAGGTATTCGCGCACAGCACTGTCAGTCGCGTCCAGTGCAGTCTCTCCGTGGAGGCGGGATCCCTTCGCGTGGAGTCGCGGGGTCAGAACCCGACTGGCATACGTCCGGCTGGCGGCGCGTGGAGGCTGCTCGCACAGCAGCAGCACAGCTTGCTCAATGATGGCGACGAGCTGGCGCTCGACAAGATGCGCAAGCCGGGCACGGTGTTCACCGTGCGCAAACGCCCTCGCGAGGCCGCCGTGGCCGCGCCGCCCACGCCAGCGGCGGCAGCGCCGTTTGCCGGTTTGCGTGTGATGTTCGGACTGCGCAGTGCGAGGCAGGCGGAGATTCAGGCGGGCGCGATCGTGCGGCACGGCGGCGTGGTGGTCGCTGCGGACGGCGACGCGGCAGCGGCGACACACCTCGTCCTCGACCATGCGCGCGACGCAGCGACGCACCCCGCGCTCGCCGCGCTGCCCGCCTCATCGTGGCCGCGGCTGCACACCGAGGAGTGGGCGCCGCACCGCAGCAGTGCCGTACACAGCGGTGGCGCGGCGCCCGACGAGCACGACGTCCACCCGGCACAGCGGCTGCGCGACGCGGCGGCGGCACCGCCGCCGCCCGCGCCGCCCACGCGATTCGCTGTGGGCACAGCGTGGCTCAACTTGCTGCACGGCGAGGCGCCGTCGGGGCGGCACGTGACGTACTCGGAGCTCAAGCCGGACGGGTGCGTCGCCGCCCTCTTCACCTCTTTATTTCCAGACCGTGCTTACGACTGGCTGCGGAGCAACTCTGCCGAGATCGGCGACGTTCTGATCATAGCCGACCGCTGCCCAAAGCTCGACGGCAACCCTCCGCCGACGCTGCGAGAGCGCGACCCCGGCTGGCTGCTGCTCGAGGGGCAGCGCACGAGCGGCATCGTGCACTGCTCACTGCTCCTCTTCCGCACGCCCACTTCCCTCCGCGTCGCGCTCGGCGGCACGAACCTCGATGGGCAGATCCACCTGGTTGCGCAGCCTCGCGAGGAGAAGTCGTGTGGCTGCCTGCCGAGAGGTATATGATCGCTTGTATGTAGGACCGCGATTCACTATTCATCCAGGACTTTCCTCTCCGCCCCGGCGCCAAGCCGTCCGACGTGCCGCACTTTGGCGGCCGGCTGCAGACTTTCCTCGAGTATCTTTCGGGCGTGTACAAGGGCTTGCCGCTGTGCGACGTGGACACCGTTCGCCGCAAGGGCGCTGCGCTGCTAGCCGACGTGGACTTCGCCTCCGCGCGCATGTCGGCGCTGGTGACGTGCATGCCAGGCGGGCCCGCGGGCCAGAACAAGGGCGGCTGGCTGGAGCTTCGGGACGGACTGAGGCAAATGGGCGCTCCGCGGCTGGGACGCGACGGCCGCATCGAAGTCGCCGCCGGCCACTTCGGCACGAACCAGCCCGAGTTCGTCGCGCAGATGTCGCGCACGCTGCGGCGGGAGGAGGGGCCACCGGCGCGCGACGCGATGGACGACGTGGGGCGCGTGTTCATGTATCATTCGTCGCGACGAACTGTGCTGGCGGCCGGCTCCAACTGCCTCGCGGTGTTCCGGACGACCGCGCCGGGGAAGCAGACGCATGAGCGACTGCTCAACGAGCACTTCTTCGACGCGATCCCCAAGTTTGACCCCGTCCGCCCGCCGCCGCCGCCGACCCTGCAGGGCTTGCCACCGAGTCTGCAGCCAGCTCTGACGCCCATCCTGCACGGCAAGGCGATGCTGGCGACGTCGGCGGACGGCACGCGCGGCGTGATGTTCGTCGGCTCGCAGAACTTTGGTCAGACAGCTTGGGGGTTCGGCAACTCGCAGCCTGGAGCCGTGGAAATTGGCGTGGTGCTGCAGGCGAACAGTGCCGCTGAAGTTGCGGCGCTGCGCGCGCGCTTCCCCGTCGAGCTCGCGCCAGACGACGATTTCGGCAGGACGAGGGAGGAGCGTGGCTACGTCATTGCGCGCGGACCAACCAACGGCATCAACTCCGGGCCGGACAGCCTGCAGATGCAATGGCGGTCGCGCTGCAACGATCTGGCGCAGCTCGAGCCGTGTCGCGAAATGCTGCGAGAGTGGTGGAATGTGAACGGGGACGAGCGCGGACCTGGCCAGATGCCCAACGGGGATACATGACACACATGCACATGCACATGCACATGCACATGCACATGCACATGCACATGCACATGCATGTCATGTCATGTGCATGTCCATGTGCAAGTACGTACGCGCTTGCTCACAGGGCCTGGGGCTCTGTGACCTCATACACTCAACGCTTGGTCCGTGGTCCTCTTTGTACACACTAAAAATGAAAAGACAATTATACATACCTCTATTGTTTGGCTGCGCGCAGGCGCGCAGAGCTCTGAGCTCTGTGGACTGTGCTCTCTCCGTGGACCCTCATCAACTCAAAGCAGCTCAACCAACTGGAACAGGAGACAGATAGAGAGGAAAGCGAGAAAGCGTGTGAGAGAATTCTCGTGGGTGCGCTGAAGAGCGCGGGAGGATGGGATGGATGTGTAGTTGCCCGACCCAACGAGCGCGAGATGAGAGACCCGGCGGGCAATTCCACGCGAAATGGCGCGTGGAGGTGCGATGGGTGAGGCGCGGCTCAGGGAGCCATGCCGGCCGGGAGAGAGCCGGGAACCAAACCTCACGCGGCCGGGAACCAAATCTCATGCGGTGGCCGAGAAGAGGTCGCTCAGCTGCATCTCCTGGCCACCGCGCAGCGTGTACCGGCCCGCGGCGGGCTGCATCAAGCCCTCAATCAGAACAGCGGGCGGGAGCGCGCCTTCCGGCTCCGCCCCGCGCGTCGTGGCAAAATGGCTCGCCAGCGCCTCGGCCACACCCGGGGCGAGCTCAGCACCGAGCTCCGCACGGGCACACCTACAACAAATGGTAGGTACCATCGCCATTAGCGACTCGGACACGCGCTGTCACGAAATGGCGGCGAGGCGGACCGTGCGAACCGCTCGGCGAGCTGCTGGGGCGTCAGGTCGGGCAGTGCCAGCGTGACGGGGCAAGCCGCACGGAGCGCCGGCGTGGTGCGAAACAGCGACATAAGCTCACCAGACGTTCCGAGCAGCACGACCCCTGACTTCGGTGGCAGCAACGCGAGGGCGGCAGCGAGGTGGCGGGCGGCCGGTGCGCTGGCCAAGAGGGAATCCGCGTCGTGAAGGAGCAGCATGCCGCCGCCTGCCGCCTCGCAAATGTCCTCGAGCCAGGAGGCGGCGTCGCCCGCCAAGATAGCCGTGGCAGAGCGCTCGACCAAGCTCCCGGTCAGCCGGCCGTGTGCGCGGAGCAGCTCGTGCAGCAGCCGCGCCACCGCCGCGCCGTCGGCGCCATCGGCGCCGACGATGGCGAGTCGGCCAGCGCGATCGAGGAGGCTACTGCCGTCATCCGCGCCGCCAGAGGGGGGAAACGCCAAGGAGAGGCGCGCGCAGATCCCGAGCAGCAGCTCGCGTGCTGGCGCCAGCTCGGCGGGTAGCAAGCGGATGCGGCGCAGCACATCGGCGCGCTCGCCCTCCTCCGAGGCGCGGCTGTGCAGGATGCCGAAGTCTTCCGCGAGCAGCGTCCTCGGGTCGGCAGCGTTGGATTGGGCCGGGTCGGGCGCGGCGCCGCCAATCGCGGCTTCGCCGGCGAGGCGCGACGCGAGGCGGTTCATGGCAGCCTCGATGACGCCGACGGCGAGGGAGGCGTTGCGCTTCGGGATGTCGGCGCGGTGCACACGGTCAATGTGCTCGGCAAGCGCCTCCTGCACGCCGTCCGCGAGGCGGAGGCCGTAGCGCGCATGGGCCGTCGAGGCGGCGATGGCGGCCAGCTCGGAGGGGGCATAATCATCAAGGCGCAGGATGTGCGGGAAGCGGCGCAGCAGACCAGGGTCGGCCCGCAGCAGCCGCTCCATCGCCTCCGGGTAGCCGGCAAGGACGCAGCAAAGCGAGGTGCGGTTGTTTTCGAGCTCCGTCAGCAGCGTGCGAAGCGCCTCGTCGGCAAACGAGTCGCCTCGGTCGCCGTCACGCGAGCCGGATAGTGCGTACGCCTCGTCGAGGAAGAGGCAGCCGCCCATCGAGGCGGCGACCATCTCCTTGACCTGCGGGCACGTCCACCCAATGTGCGTCCCCTTGAGCTCGAGGGCGTTCCGCTCGACGAAGACGTCCTGAGGGTAGGAGGGGGCGAGGGCGACAGGTAAAGAAGATATGAGAAGGGGGGAGAGCCTACAGCGAAATTGGAGAGGCCAAGACAAGGCGAGCACGGAAGGGCGAGGCAAGGAAAGGTAGAGGGAGAGAGGCCTGCTGCAGCAGCCCGTGCGCGCGCAGCCATCTCGCGATCAGCCGCGCGGCGGTCGTCTTGCCGGCGCCTGGATTGCCGGTGAGCACGATGTTGAGGCAGCCCTCGAGCAGACGCGGGTCGCCGCCACGTGCCACGTACTCCACCTTGGCCTGCAGCTGCGTGAGGAATGCCTTGAGCGGCGCCATCCCCGTGAGCCCCTCGAGCTCCGCCTGCACCTGCTCGTGGGCAGCAACCGCACATGAGCACGCTTAGGAACAGCACAGCGCGGCCGGGCGCACGCGGTAGCGATGGGAAGCACGGCGGAGGTGCAGGCACGAGAGTGTGGAGAAGAAGGCGGATAATGATGCGTGCGAGAGGAAGAGGCTTTTGGACAGGGCGCACCGCCCGCCGCTGCTCCGCCAGCGACGCGAGGCCGTGCGCCGAGTCGAGGCCGAGGTCCGGCTCGGTGAGGAGGAGCGGCGAGCCCTGCAGCCGGCTCAGAGGCAGCCGCGCGTTGCGCGACGAGATGGCACGCTGCGCGAGCTCGCGCGCAAGGTGTGCGTTGCGGAGCGCTATCACGTCACCTGGCAACAAAGGTGTCAATGTCAGCAGCACAATCTCTGCGCAACCGTGGACGCAGCATCCAGCTGTATCTGGCTAGCAGAGCAACCGTGTGCCCTGTATATCAGCCCTTCTAGGGCAGCGGTGAGGTCGCGAGCGTCACTAGTAGCGAGGTCTCCAAGAGGTTTTTACAGGGCACTCACGAGGCCATGTCGAGAGGAGCGCGGCTTCGAGCGAGCGGCGTCCGACGTCGGGCGCGAGGGAGTAGCCCGCCTCGAGGAGCTGCACGGCCGCCATGGACGCGATCTCCGCCGGCGCGTAGCTTGGCAGCGCCAGCCGCGACGGCTCGCGCCGCCGGAAGTGCCCGACGCCGCCATGCAACGCCTCCACGTCTGAAGCCGAGCCAACGAACACAAAGCAGTGGGTCGGAAAGTTGCGGAGCACGGCGTCGGCCTTCTGCTTGGTGGCCTCGACACTCGGCGCGCCGAGGCCGTCTACCACCACCGCTCCAATGTCGCGCCTGCAGAGGTCCGGTCTGGGTGAGGTGGAAGTGTGCAGGCTGGGTCTGCTCGCGCGGAGGCATCGTGCCGAACGTCGAGGACCATTTGGTCGAGTGTCGTCTCCGTGGTGACGGAACCGCGCACGACACCGAGTGCGCGGAGTAGACGGCAGATGAGCGTCGCTGCCGTCTTCTTGCCCGTCCCCACGGCGCCGGAGATCAGAACGCATCGCACGTCTGCCGTGTCGCCGACAGCTGAACGCGCCAGGGCGTCCCGCCGCAGGGAGGCGCACAGCGCCTTGAGCGGGGCGAGCCCGACAAGGGTTTCGAGCTCTGCGTCCACCGCCGCCAGCGCCTCCACGTCCAGCCCGCTGCAGCGGCGTCGCAGGTCGCGGTAGGCGGGTGAGCAAGCACGCGCTGCAACCTCGGCTATGCGTGCGGATGCCGCGGCGGCACGCCCAGCCTCGCTGCGCGCACGGGCGCGCGCAGCAAGGCCGCGCCCCCGGGCGGCGAGGCCACGGAATGCCGCTTGTAACCGCACCGCGTTCTGCTCCTGCAGTGCTGGCGAAGGCTGCGAATGGATGCGGGGAGGCAGAAGCGGCGCCACTGCTCCGCCGTGGACAGCCAAGGAGAGCTTGAGCGGTGGCGTGGGGACATAGGCTGGCACGGCGGTGATACCAGCACGTTTGTTGACCGCCGAGTGGGTGGCAGGCTCCGGGGCGGGCCGCTTCGCGCTAACCATGATGAACAGGTTCTCTCTGACGGGCACAAGAGTCCGCCGGCCCGGGGCGTGCACTCTGCGTCGGGACGTCCCCCGCGAACGGCGGGCGAATCCACAGATCTAACAACACCTAGGTGGGCTTCTAACGGCAAGTTAGGGAAACTAAGACCTTCAGACGTGGTCTCCTCGGTCACGCGACTCAAGATCCTCTAGAGCTCCTCGACTGCTTTTTTTCAGGCCAAGGAGAAGCCTGTGTGGGGCCGCTCACAAAAGTGTCTACGTGCGGCATGTCCATGTGTGTCAAGCGCCCCAGCAGAGTAGACCAAAGCAGGATTGATGCCCTTGAACTACATGCAACATGGTCTACAGCGCCAGCTACAGCGTATCGTTACATAGATCATAGTCCGTAGACGTCTGTTCGGCACAAGCTAGCAACACGACATCACAAGACGCCGCACTCAGAGTTTGTGCTTCGCGGCGTCTTTGAAGCACACGACTTGAAGGGCTCCGGCATCCTCTCCGCCTCGGAGGTGCGTGCGGCGCTCGGCGAGCTCGGGCTTAAACAGGGATCGGCCGAGAACGACATGAACTCCCTCAGCCTGAGTGGTTTTATCAGCCTCGCTCGTGAACTCAAGCGCTCCCAGCCGGACCCTCGATTGCCGTCGGTGGGGACAGGGGCTGCCTTTGGCGTGGCTATCGGCGACAGCGAGGAGGGCGAGGGAAGCGAGGAGAGCGGGGAGAGCGGGGAGAGCGAGACGGAGAGCGAGGAGACTGAGGAAAGTGACGGCGAGAGCAGCAGCGAGGAGAGCGACGAGGAGGACGAGGAAGGAAAGCGTGAGCGCGAGGGCAACACAGCCAGGCCACCGCCGACAATGCTTGGCATCGGCGCCTGGGCAAAGTCGGCAGCTGAGCTGCGGTCGCACTATGCTCGAGCGGGGCTGGTGGCACTTCAGGCGCAGCTTTTGGCCGAGCGAGAGGCTGTCAGCAACCGTATGGCGCTCGCCTGCGACGAGGCGCCAGGGTACCGTGGTCAGCTCGGGTCCAGCACGTATCGCCCATCGCAGCTCGACGCCTTCAAGCTGTGCCGCGTTCTGGCCGAGGAGCTGGTGTCCGAGATAGTCGAGGCCGAGATCCTCTCCAAGCCGGAGCGGTCGGAGGAGGAGCTGAGCAAGGAGCTTCGCAGCTGGAAGAGGCAGCACGCTCGTCTGCGGAACAAGCTCGCACGGAGAAAGAAGGGCGCGTCGCCGGCCTCTCTCACACCAGACGGCGGAACGGCGAAGGATGCCCCAGCGGGGACGGCCGCAGAGTCGACAGCGGAGGCAGAGCCTGGGGATGAACCCAAGGCCGAGGGGGAGACCTCCGACGGCGCTGAGGGCCAGGGTGATGAGGAGGGCAAAGGCGGCGCGGCGAGCGAGGAGGGAAGCGAGGAGGAAACTGCCTCGGAGGGGGACGAAGAAGGAGGGGAGGAGGAGAGCGGCGATGAGAGGGCAGAACGGGAGCCCGTGGACCTCGACGCATCGGCCGCCGCCACAGAGCTGCTGGATCAGACCGATAGCATGGAGGAGACGGAGGATGGGGAGTCTGGGGACGAGGACTCAGAGAGCGATGCCGACTCGACTCGTTATCACGTGGCTCTCTCTGCCGGGAGCGTGTATGCTCTTCTGTCCGAGTTGACGGGCGAGGTGATCGAGGACGCGGTGGCGGAGGTGTACGAGGAGGCGATGCGGGAGCGTCGGCTCGCGATGGCCTTGTCCCGACGGCTCCTACTTGGCGCGGCAGCCGGCGCATGTGGTCGGCCTTTGGGGGAAGTGCCGCAGGCCTTGGTGGCCGCATACGACGAAATGGTGGCACGGCGTCGCTCGCAGGACGAGTCGCTACTGCACGCACATTCCCTGCGCGTGCAAAAGACGTGGCGCAATCGGCATAGAGACGACGACAGTGACAGTGGCAGCGGCGACACTAGTGGGGAGGACGAGGACGAGGCGGCTGCTCTTTCGGCGCTGCCTCTATCGGAGGAGCGCGAGACGTTGCCACGCGGCGGGCTGCTGCGAGCTGCCTTCACGGAACACGAATTTCATTGGTGGGGCGACGCACAGATACAGGCGCTATCTCTCGACACGCGCGAGGTCCCGGAGCCGTCTACGTTGGCCTTCTCTTCCGATGGTGCGCTACTTGCTGCTGGCACGGGCGCCGGCGGACTTGCGGTGTGGCAGACGCCTGGTGTGGGCGGAAAAATACCGACGCTAGTTCGCCGCCTCGGCATCAACAAGGGCGGCGGCGCCCCGCTCCTGCGGCTTTCCTGGTCTTTCGACGGCACAGAGCTCCTTGGGATCGACGCTGCCGGCGTAGCAAGGGTGTGGTCGCTCACTGCGGACGCCACACAGCTCTATGGTGCGACCGCGCTCAAAGCCGCTGAGCACTGGCAAGCCGGAGCGAAGGGCGGGAGTAAGGCGAGCACTGCCCGGTAGCGTGCAGGCAATCACGGGCGCTATTTTGTCGTACTCTTCTTCGGCGAGCGCCCCAAATCTAGACCCTTTCGCCTTTAAGGAGGCTGCCCTCGCTCGTCTCAGGAATGTGGCGGTGTCTTTTGAGTCCGGCGCCTCCTACTACTCCAGTTCTGTTCATGCGCGCAGCTTTTTGTTTTCTTGGTTCCTGTAGCAGCGGCCTTGCCGGCATTTGCAATCGCTTCCCGGCCGCCCCATTCGCTTCCCGGCCGGAAATGGCCCAGCGCCGCGCTCGCTCGCTCACGGGATGTGTTGAGGCAGGTGCGAAGCACGGCCTCTCGTCCAATGCTTCGCAAGCTCTCTCGTCCGAGGACATTGACGTCTCAAAGCTTCGCAAGCTCTTCGCCTCGCTCGATACCGACGGCTCGGGCTCCATCACCGCGGGCGAGATGCGCTCCGCCCTGACCAAGATGGGCGCCGACCCCGCGGCGGCAGACGACGTCATTGAGGACAGCGACGCCAACGGAGACAACAAAGTCACCTTTGAGGAGTTTGCAAAAGCCGCGCAGCGGGGAGCCGAGATAGTGGCACTCGCCAAGAAGGTGCAGGGCTACGGCGGAGCAGACGCGAGGTCGGTCCATTCCTAGGAGGAGTGCAGCAGCACCGTGTCTCGGCAGCGAGGCTTTCTCTCTTGTCTGGATAGGTCGGTCCATTCCTACGCCGAGGAGGAGTGCAAGGCGTTTTCTGACTTCATCAACGCAAGGCTCGCCGACGACGAGAGCCTGTCCCACCTCCTGCCGATTGCGACGGCAGATGGCCTCTTCTCTGCCGTCTCCGACGGCATGCTGCTGTGCAGGCTGCTCAACGAGGCGGCGCCGGGCGCAATCGATGAGCGCGCCGTCAACCGTATCTCTCCATCCAAGCCGAGCCGCTTCCACGTGACCGAGAATCAGAATCTGGCCATCAGCGCGGCCAAGGGCAGCGGCATCAAGGTCGTCAACGTCGGGGCTGAGGACATCATCGAGGGCCAGCCGCACCTCATCCTAGGGCTCGTCTGGCAGATGGTCAAGATGGCGCTCCTCTCGAAGATCAACCTGCGCTCGAACCCGTTCCTCATCAGGCTCGCCTCCCTGTCTCGCCAATCTCCCAGTTCCCGACGCCGACCCGCACTTCTTCACTTGTCCTGCTTCGTACCCTCTCGTTCCCTCACGCCCTCGCCTCGAGCAGGCTGCTCCTCGAGGGCGAGACGCTCGAGGACCTGCTCAAGCTGCCGCCCGAGCAGCTGCTCATGCGCTGGGTCAACTACCACCTCGCTCAGTCGAGCTGCAGCCGCCGGCTCCGCAACTTTGGGTCCGACGTCGCCGACTCGGAGATCTATGCGCACCTGCTGCAGCAGATCGACCCCGGCAGGCGTGTGAGCGCTGCCGACGTGATGCGCCTCGGCGACAAGACCGCGCGCGCGCAGCAGGTTGTCTCCGCCGGCCGCCGACTCGGCTCCGACTTCAGCATCCGGCCCAAGGACATCGTGTCCGCCAACGAGAAGCTCAACCTCGCCTTTGTGGCGGGGCTCTTCAACGCGTGCCCTGCCCTGGAGCCGCTCGACGAGGAGGAGCTCAAGCTCTTTGACGAGTGCGTCACCCTCGCACCCACGCACGCGCACAGACCACATCTGACACCCGCACGGACCGGCACACGCCTACGCTAGGCCCGGCCCCGGCTCTCACCTCGCCGCCACACTCCACGCTCCAGGCTCGAAGACGACGACGTCGGCGACTCGCGCGAGGAGCGCGCCTTCCGCCTGTGGATCAACTCGCTGGGCATCGACGGCGTGTACGTGGACAACCTGTACGACGGCGTCCGCGACGGGCTCGTGCTGCTCTCGGTGATGGACCACGTGCAGCCTGGCGTCGTCGAGTGGTCCAAGGTGAGGGCCTGCCCGCTCTGTAGCGCACGGGGTGCCGTCTCGATCCCGTCCACTTCCCCTCGCGTGACAGGTGAACCGCAAGCCGGGGATGGTCTTCAAGCAGGTCGAGAATGTCAACTACGCCATCGCGATCGGCAAGGGCGAATTCAAGTTCTCCCTCGTCGGCGTCGCCGGCTCCGACATCGCAGTGGACGGCAGCAAGAAGCTCTCGCTCGCCCTCATCTGGCAGCTGATGCGCGCCCACCTCGTCTCCTTCCTCGCCACGCTCAAGAGCAAGACGCCCCGCTCGACCGACTCGGCGATGGTGCGGTGGGCCAACGAGACGGTCGAGGCCGCCGGCTACGCCTCGCGCATGAAGGACTTTGGCGACAAGAGCCTGGCCGACGGCCTGTTCCTGCTGGACCTGCTCACGGCGGTGGAGCGGCGCGCTTCCGGCCTTCGGGAGGCATGTGGCCAGGGCGGCGGCGCACTCTCACCGACCCGACGGCCCCCATAGGCGTTGCGTCAACCGCGACCTTCTCGCCGACGGCGCCACCGACGAGTCGCGGCTGCTCAACGCAAAGTGCGCAACACACACCTCCCACCTCACCGCCCCCGCCTCACCCCCCCCGCCGAAGAGGCGTTCGATGGAGCTCACCCTCACCGCTCGCTGCCGCGCAGGTACGCGATCGCGTGCGCCCGCAAGCTGGGCTGTGCGCTCTTCTGCTTGCCCGAGGACCTCGTCGAGGTGCGCCCCAAGATGGTGATGTCATTCGTGGCTTCCGTGATGGCATTCGCGGGCGCGTGACGCCTTGCGACGCACTTGGCGCGCCCCGACTGTGAGAGAGCAGGGCGCAGGGGCGCACTCGAGACGACCCACAGTCCACCGCGTCCCCCAACCGCTGCGTAGAGACGCTCACCGGAGCCGCACACCGGCGAGAGAGAGAGCCGAGGCCGCACGGGACGGCCCCGCCCTTCGCAGTCGTTGTGGGGGGGGCCAGGCGGAAGAGAGAGTCTTCTGAGAGTTGAGAGAGTCGTCTAAGTGTCACTGTTGCGGTGCGTGTCCGACGAGGGCGGCGGCGGAGGCGGCGGCGGTGGCGGTGGCGGTGGCGGTGGCGGTGGTGTGTGTGCGCGCGAGTGTCTGTGTGTGCGTGCGCGGGTGTGTGGTGTGTGGAGGGAGGGCGGCACCGGAGGCCGGAGGCCATCTCGCGACCTCGCCGCGATCCGCTCTCGCGCGTCGCGCGCCGGCCTCGAGTGCTGAGAGGATTGTATATCTTTCACTGTTTCTGTTTCACAGAGGCATGTGTGCAAAACGTCACAGAGCAAATCAGACAACACTATGGTTCAACGCCCGCTTTACGTGCGCTATTCACCTCTGTGCAACTCCCCAACAGCCTCTGCCCTCTCTGGGCGAGAGCGTCTCGCCTCTAGATTGCGGCGCCGGTACCAAGCTCTGCCCGTCGGTCGTCGCTTCTCTCCACCTTGCTCTCCCCCGTCGCAGACTCCCGCGGTCTCGTCCCTCATCGAGGGCGCTCCCAGCTCTCTGTCCGTCCGCTCGCAGCCGCAGCCGACCGTCCTCAGTAGTACACGCTGTCTTTGTCCTTGGCCATGCGCGGCCCCGACCGAAACCACCCCTTCTTGAACTTGACCTCGCTCACGGGCGGCGGCGGCGGCGGCGGCGGGCCCTGGCCCATGGCCCTCGCCGGCCGCCACTCCTCTGCGCGCGCAGACGAGAAGCGCGACTGTGGCGATACGTTGCGCACTGCTCCGGCGGCGGGCGAAGCGACGGCGGTGGGCGAGGCGCCGCCGTCGCGGAGCAGGAGCTCGACGGCCGCCTCGACGCTCCCCGTCGACGCGAGCGCCGCCTCGATCCGCTCGGC